TTAGTGTATACTAATAAGACGATATTTGAACTGATTTTAATCCATCTGCCTAATAAAAAGAAGGAAATCAGTCTTTTGTAGGAAAATCTCTATTATTTCTACAAGAATATGGTCTGTTGGTAATCTCACATGACAAAACTTTCGCATATTATATAGTGATGCAAACAGTAATGGAAAAGCAAATATCTTTATGGTAACTATGGATTCTGAAAGTATGATGAATGTTTAAGGTATAAAAGTGTGATTAATACTAGTTTCTTGTATATTAAAATGATTCTTTAAGTTTCTGCGAAATACATACTATCGGTGAATTTATTGCTTTCTTCCTATTAATATTCTATTATGTTAAGGTGTTTTCAACACGAATTACTAATAGTAGACAAATGTTCATAGATTTACTTTCAAATCCATACTTTATATTCGACTGATTTAACCTAAAGATAAATGAATTAAGTCTTAAACAAACAATGTCACTTTTTTGTTTCAATGGTTTTCATATTTATTATTATTTGATTATTAAATAATTTCATTTTTCAATATTGTTTTAATTTGTTTCTACTTATAACAGATTGTTTATTAGTTTCACAAATGGCCACAATAACTTTAAATATTTTCCGACCAACGTCACAAACATTGACTAATACACCTAGCACTACGACAACGACGACCACGACCACCACTACCTCTACCACCATTGATACTGTATCTAGTTGTATATCTAATAAAAACGAAGATGATACAATGATTGTCAATGGAACTTCGAATAAATATATATGTTTTGTCAAAGATTTACCTCAATTAGCTAGAAATGTTCACCAATTAGCTATACAACTCTATGTGCATCGTTTTAAATTTCCATATGAAAATATCATCAATCAATTACAGAAATGTCCAATATGCTCAGAAAATATCCTTTTGTTTGTTTGTTCTTTATTATACTGAATATATTAAAATTTCTATGTATTTGTTAATTTAATTTCTTCCAATAATTTCCTAGAATAATAAATATGATCGAACAAAATAGGGTTTTCAATTTGATTTTCATCATCTACACTACTCTCTAATGCATAGTAAGAAATTTATATGCGTCTATATAAAAATATTGGACTGATGAAGTACAGTTTTTCTTTCTATATTCACATTCCTTGAGAATAAGAACTTGACGTTTTACTCTTTAAAATTAGCCATTATACAGTCGACAGTCAAAATGTCGATGCCATGGTGTTTGGAGTGAATGGTACTGAGCTTAAGTCCCAGAGTGTACATCAACTCTGGGATGCAGGCTGATCGAGTTGATAAGCCCTGAATAAGACGAAACGGGTGTCCTGGGTTCCACTGCTAGTCGCCATCCATCTCTGCTTAAAAAATACTCTTTATACTATTGATGTTGTTTAAGTGTATGTATGTGTGTATGGCTGCCTCTAAATCAAGGTGAAAGCGTAAACCTGGATAATATCAAAGACGCTGACGTAATACGTCTACCTCAATGCTCAGTAAATGAACATTTATTTGACACAATTTAGATTATTCTATTGTGTGAGTGGAGTTTTATGATTGTAGAAACATATACTGCAAGTTGGTCAATGTTTCTTTTTTATGAATCAATTTCAGTGCTACATTCTATTTTGTATACCCATTTTAATTATAACTGTATACTACAACTATTTGCTAGTCAAATATTTTCTTTTGAAGCCCAGTTTGTTTAAATTAATATACGTACGTTGGATACTGACAGTTAAAAAAATGGCGTATATGAACTATCGGTTACTTTATTCTTCTATATTTTGATCTAGAAACGATAAATATAGTCGTGCTTACAGTGTACAATCTATTTCCTTAAGTTGTATGGTGGATATATTTTTCTTTTCTGTTTAGTACATGTCATTCCGGACCTAATTTATTTGAATTGCTCTCAAAACCATCCATTTGGTGAGTTATTCATATATTTCACCTTTTCTTTAGGGGTTATAGTTGCTTAGCACTGAAGATTCCCACATTACAACGAAACAACTATTTAATACTCTCTTGTTTTTGGTGATATCCCAATTAAAATCAATCTGTCTTAAACACAACATATATATATTCAGTTTATTGTTGATAAGCTAAGCACATGGTGATAAAGAAATCTGCTTAGTTTATTTTTCAAATAACAGTTCATTATAGTTTCATGTATTAGTCGAGGTACATAATGAATGAATTTATTTGTCAGTCTATTATGTTATGTCTAAGAACTATTGTGTCTACTTTATTAAATGACATATATTCACGGATTTTCAATCACTAATGAAGTTTTTTTTATATTATACGATAACACAAATTCAGTTTGGGCATACTATATGAACTAACAATAATAACAATAAAATATAGGACAGAAATTACTAGCAATTTAAGGCAATTCATATCTGTTCTGTAACATCCAAATCCATATCTATTCACTTTTTTGTATACCTTGTAGAAAGCATCTAAATTGATGAAACCCCCCAACCACACATTTTTCTCATTCAAATAAGCAAAAAAAGATTGTAATAACCAAAATATTTGATCTCACAAAAAGAAAGAATAATCCAAATCACTATTCTTAAAGTACAATTCTTATATCATTAATTAGAGGGTAATTAAAAGAAAACAATATTATACTAATTTTAATTACTACCCATTACATTCATCAGATAAATTTTAAGGGGTTACAAGTATTATACTAATGTACCCCACCATCTCAGTTCATACAATTGAAAGTGTAAATTTATTTTCTTTGGGATAAAGATATGTATTTATGAATAAGTTGTACATTTTTTTCCTGATTCAGTTGGCTAATAAAAGCTTCCTACTCCTGGTTTTCTCGCTTTACGTATCTGATTTAGGCACGCGTACAGAGAGCGTATATATCAGTAACTGAATTGGATAATAGTATCACACAAAAAATACCTAAACTTTTTTGGTTTAATAGTCGTTTTTTCGTACATTTCTTTTTTCTTCAGAGCGTTGCATGCAATCTCTAGAACCTTGCATTGATCCTATGTTTCGTCATTGCATTCGGTGTAATCGTGTAGCTCTTAGCGTATCTCCTCAAGGTATGATGTAGAATTGTGTGATTTTTGAAGATTATTATCACTACTCTTCATGTTATTTCATAAGTCTCAATCTAGTTAAAATCTCTTTGAATAAATACTCATATCCTACTTTTACATCACTACATAATTGATTGACATTGTGAATAGTAAACTGTTACGGCATGAAACCTAGTTTAAATACCAAATGATGTTTTGTTACATCAATGATGTTCACAAATAAAGTTATAATAAGCCTGTTTTCGTCATCTGCATTTCTGCATAAACGACATATGTTTTTCCTCGATCATGTATGCATTTTTCAGTTTTATATCAGTGTAAGATTATTCATGTTAGTTATTAACAACTACTGAATAGATTTGCATTCATAATCGTTGTACCGTGAATGGTCTTTATTTTACTGTTTGTATCTTCGTAAAATGATTATATTAGTTTGATTTAAAATATCAGGCAATATCTGAAATGAGATGGGCTTAGGGTACTACTCAATTACTGCATTTTAAAACACCGCATAGAATGAATGTATCTGGATTATCATAATAAACTTTGAGCCATGTCACTGTTTTCGTCTGACCATTGATTTTAACTACCTGATCGGAAATTCCAAGTAGATTACCAATTCACATACTATAATTCTTTTTCCGATCATCGCATTTCGAGTAAACCCGTTTATTGACATCCTGCTCTATATTGATGGAAGGTTTTGATTCAAATTTATCAGATTTGTATTTGACAAATGTTCATAATTTAAAAGGCATGGAGTTCTTTTTGTCTATAATATTCAAAGTGTTTGATTGAATTGGACTCACTATTATTTTATCTACTTGCATACAAATGGGAAACCCACTCATAAATACTTGGTTCTCTGAAATATATCTCGAAACAAATCGGTATGAAGAAAGTAAATACAGTCTCCGTCTTATAGAACGACTAGTACTGTACACATCTCTTCTATCTGTAATACTAAACTGATATTGAGTTTCACGGACATGTGTCGTTTGTTAGTGTTTGTTTATAAATATCTTTGATATTTTTCTCGTATATGCTGGAACCGTTAAGTGTATAACATTGAAAATAGACGTTGAATAATATAACAATCGTAAATTAATTAATCAGTCCTTCAACGTCCATCTTCTAATATCGTTTAGACAGTGTTACTGATGTTCAGGCATCATCTACTTCGAGTTGTAGCTGTGATTCCAGTAGATCGGGAAAATGCTATATGCAACCAAATCAAAACATACTATCAATCTGTGAATTATTTAAATATTCAACACAGGTGTTTCAGAAATTGTAGACAATGGGATTATTTCCCACGTAATAATCGTAATCCATTGTTAATTCTTTTGTTTGGCTTTCAGTACTGAATTTTCATCCGTCTTGGCATATGTACATCATCAGGGGATTGCCTCTTTATAACAATTCGCTATGAGTTTTAGTACATTTGAATTTTGGCTAGAAGTGGCTAGCACTAATACAAGTAGACGTAATACGTGTTGATAAAGCGATTAGTTATCTGAACTAATTAGTATAACGGATAGGGCGTTTGCGTTTGCAGTGTTAGATTCTGTTTTTCGGTCATAGTGTGGATATTAATACTAGGATGGTGGTACATCCAGTTGACGACCTTAGAAATGGATGAAACGCGCCTTACTGATTCCACTGCTGGTCTGTAATCCAAATATAATTATCTATAGGTCGTATTGTTTCTATTTTACCGTTGAATCATCAGTTTAGCTATTGTTATTTTTATTCTCCAAACCATTTGTAATTAGATCGTTTATCCGCTTGGCGTTCAATGATACTTCATCCAATGTGTATATATTGTGATTTACCATTGACGTGGAAAGAATTCTAATGCTTATTTTATCATAATTTTTATTCCTTGAATATACCGACAAGATCCTTATGTTTTATTTCATCTATATATAAATGTCCATTTCAAATTCGATTTTTATTCTGTATTGTCGAATGCAAATTGTAATAATGATGTTAGTACTTAATTAATCTTTTCTAATATGAAGTTCTCAGTTTGTTGTCTGTGTATGTATGTTTGATGTGTGTGTGTAATTAGCATGTATGTTTACTCTTTGATTCGATAATGTACGGAAGATGTCCTTAGTTTAAAGATAATTTTCGAAGCACGCCAATAAACCGATCGACTTATTGTGGCGTGCAATGTCCCAGAGTTGATAATGGTCTGCATGTGCCTAACTACCAGGTAGAAAAGGTGGATAAAGGATATTCCTTGATATATATATATATGCATATATCCCTTAAGAATTTAAGTCTACGAGTGGTTTAAATTTTATCCCTTGAAAATAAAAACTATATCTTGGCCCAAACACTTGCACTTATCATTTGGCTATTTCTGATTAGCCCTCCTGAAATATAGATCCGTTTTTCGGATTCAGCTGGACGACTTTTGAATGGATTTGCACGTCAGTTAGTAGTATTTTTGTTTCTGATTTTTCTCTCACAATAACAGTTCAACTATTCAGATGTGATCTTTTTCATGTTATTTAATATATTAATAATTCTTATGTTCTACCGGGAGGTTCACTTGTTGACTTAGAATATGCTGATGACATAGTTTTATTTGGCGAAGACGCTGACAAAATGCAGAGTCTTCTGACCACTCTAAGCAACAATGCAGGCATGTTCGGGATGCGATTCTCTCCCTCGAAATGCAAAATGTTGCTTCAGGATTGGGTTATATCGACACCCGAACTAGTGATAGGGAGTGAAGTAGTTGAGTGTGTCGACCGCTTCACTTATCTTGGAAGTCTCATCAGCCCTTGTGGTCTGGTGTGTGACGAAATCTCAGCTCGGATAAAGAAGGCTCGACTAGCTTTTACCAACTTGCATCATTTATGGCGTAGGCGAGATATCCGTCTATCAACCAAAGGACGGGTTTACCGCGCAGCAGTTCTTTCCGTCCTACTTTATGGTAGTGAAATATGGCCGGTAAGAGTAGAGGATATTCGTAGGTTACTAGTATTCGATCATAGGTGTCTTCGAAATATTGCTCGTATATCCTGGGGCCATCGAGTAAGTAACGCAGTTGTTAGGAAACGGGTACTAGGTAAGGATGGCAAACCAATTGATGAACTAGTGAAACTTCAGTTGAGATGGTTGGGACACGTGTTACGTATGCCCAACGACCGACTGTCTCGACGTGCGATGTTCAGTGGTATAGGAGTAGGTTGGAAGAAAGTTAGGGGCGGCCAGACCAAAACATGGCACAAGTCCATGAAGTCACTGACAAGTGGTCTGAGCCATGTCGGTAGGTGTAGACTACGTGGTTGGGGACCGCGAGATGATAGCAACCGATAGTTAGAGACCCTGAATGACATGGCTCAAAATCGTTTGCAATGGCGCAGGTGCATCCACTCTTTGTGTTCTCCCAAAATTTGATCTCCTTATTCCTCCTTTTTTTCTCTTCTCAAATTTATTTCACTGTCTTATACTTTTTAAGTAACATCTCCAAACACTAATCTTCTTGATTACTGCTTATACTCTTATTACCTCTACCACTACGGGATTTGAATCGACCACTGCATCTCTATGCTAATGTGGTGTGGCAACTCGAACTGGTTTACGAACGTACGAAGTTCTACGTTGTTACTGACTGACTGAATTCTTATGTGATTGTCAGTAGATGGACGGTTTAATAACCTTTACAGTAATAAATTGATGATAGAATAAAACAGTTCATCATCATATCTGTGAAATCAGATTTTCTGTTGTTGTAAACAACCAGATCATAGACTTCACTGTTTATACTAAGGTGTATTTATTGACTTTTGTAATAAAATATTTTAGTGTAGAATATGAGCAGTGATTACATAGAACAGAAGTTAGAAAATAATTGTTGGCTGATATGTCGGATTACTTATTTTATAGGGTCTTTTGAATTGATTCACTTCATTAGATCTGATTATATCAAACCATACTTCATCAACACCGAGGTCCATGGACCAATATAAGTACCTGCTGTATACCGAAATGTTACCAATTGTTTCATGATTCATATAAACTGATTACATAATTTTAGCTATTTTTTTCTTCTTCTTGTAATTCAACTTTAGCATGGATATATTTGTAGATGAAACTAGTAAAAATTCTCGTTATGAAAAAGTATGTTATCTTGGTGAAGGTCAATTCGCTAATGTATTCTTAGCTCAGGATAATAATAGAAATGGACAATTAGTAGCTATTAAAAAGGTAAATGTATTTCTCATTACTTATTTTAATAATAAAATGATATCTTGATTTTATATCTTACCATTCAGTGTTTTAGGCTAAAATGCATTATTCAGTCAACAAAATAAAATATCTAACTATTTTGTATTGAAGATATATGGTACGATAAGAGTAAGAATTAAGCCTAATATTTGAGTATTAATTCTATGAGATAATGTATAACTTATAGTTGCGATTTCTCCCTAATCGTCTACTTGTTAAATAAACTTAAGTCTTATTTATTCTTGTATTCAGTAGTCTGTATGTGAGCGTGTAGTTTATTTGAAGAAAAGCTGTTCAACTGAACATTTGTCTTATCTTCTGATATCAATTCAGTTAAGGGCTTCTGTCAATCATTCAGCCTCATGAACAACCATCACTTCACGGCCACATTGAATTATTAGATTTCCTTTGTTAATCGGCACTCTATTTAATCTATTGAAACTAGTAGTATGAGAGTAGAACTTGTGGGATTATCGTACGTATGATTATCATTTATATTTTCATCGTATAGTTAACAAACATTTAAACCATTGTGTTTTTATATTCTCTTCCTAAGCTTTCTTTTAATTCATGTACCGTTGTCATGCTTCTTATCATTCCAGATTTATTATTAAGTTATATACACATGATCAGACATTTCAAGTATACTATTGTTCGAGTTTCGAATTGTGATTGACTCTTTGTCTTCTGATTGACCACTGGGTTAGAAGTAGCTTCAGAAGAAATAAACATTAAGATGTTGGGTTTTGTTCATTGGGCGATGTGCGTCGATCGGTAACTAGAAGGTGACTGATCCTACTGGCAATATAAGTAAACTAGCTGAGGAAAAAAAGAGAAAGAGCGATTATACAACTGCATGTTTGTCATTAAGTCCCGACTACACACAATCCGGTTAAGCAAATTTGTTTTCTTTTCCCAACATAACGTCATTTTAGCAATCGGAATTTCATTCCTTAAATTATAAAATCCTACCATACACAAAATAATGTCATGTTACGATAATAATTTCTTTATTTCAGCTTCTACTAAGAATATTTCATATGAATATTTTCAGTTAAGAATCTTTAATGAAATTTCCTATTAACAATGTAAATATCTAAATTCAAATGTTAAGATACTTTAGTTACTCTTAGTCTGACTTCAAAATGACCGAGTTGTTAACGCAGACGAAATATAGATCCTACCTACATCATACCTGTTCTATCGGTAAATCACTTTAATTATAATGAAGATTTAAAAGTTGGATGTGAATATTTCGGATATTTATATTTCATACATTCGTTTCGCTAGATAGACTAAGTAATAATAAACGAAGTCAGATATCATTAATCAATTTAACGAAAACGTGACTTAATATTTATAGGCATGAAGGAAACAAGCAAACATTTCGACACATTCTTTAATATACACATGCTCAAAGTCACATGTATAAATGACGAAATAAGTGAAAAGATCAGAATAATTCATCTGTTTAAAAGTTGAAACAAATTGTCTAGTTTTGTAATACAAAAGAATTCACTACAATACTGATATTAAAATTACTACCTTAATCCACAAAGTTGACACGTATATTTTTAAACAACTCCATTTTATCTATCCTGAAAATCTTGTACATTTAATTCCACCGCTTTACTACAATAGCACAAGTGTTTTCATTCTTTGTTTTCCACCAGTCTATATTTACTTTACGAATCGTATTTCCGATGCTCAATCTTTTCTACCGTCACGAATAGTGTTATTATTTGTACCACTCTCGGATTTGTTTAGGCGACTTCATCTCGTTTTGCCAATGGGGTGTGGAAACTTGAACCGATATACATATGTCCTAGGTTGTACTTCACGTATGACTGATTAACATTACTATGAGAAAATAGAGAACGAAATTCATTTTCATATATTGTATATTCCGCTTTATCATATCCCATTTAATTTAATTTTAAAATTCCTGTTGGTCACTGGAAATGGAAGCACATACAAAGTTTTAATCTACTATTCGTTCAGTATTTTCTAGCATAACTCACCGTTTCAAATCCCGGTCCAGTATGGTTTGAACAGATAGCTTCGTCAACTGTTATACATGAATAGTGTGACTTTAAGCTCAGTACAGAATGCATGCATTTAATTAATGAGTTGCATTAATATGAGTTCCTTAGTGATGCAAAATTTCTTCAAATTGATGATTTAGTAATTTTGTTGTGGTAGTTGTAGTATTAATGTAGTAAACCAAGACTTGGTGAGGATAACCAATTTACCGCTAAATGCAAAATTGCAGTGTCTTCGTGAAATATGAAAACCATACATCCAATACTTCATCTGCACATCTTCCATCAATCATCACTTACAAACTTTATCGTTCCTTCATTCCTGTCGATATTACAATTGATCCTGTTGTCATATATTCCACTTCTGATTGCTGCTATTTACTACTTACGTCGACAGACACAAGTAGCATACACCACCGTGGTAGTAGTTCGTACAGACCGATTTGATTGGCAGTAATGTATATCTATGTTCCTCTTTTTTCCAAATTTTGTGTTTTAATGTTATTTCATTACACAATTTTAGTCGTTCATTTTGAATGTGACTCCATGTGTTCGTGTTTCATTATCACTCATTACATTACCATTATTATTTAAAAATATTTTTTTACCATCTGTGCTAATATCATGTCTCGGGGAAATTTAGCGAATGTACATTTATTGTTGTCATGATTTTATATTCATTCAACACTTTTCGTTAATAGTTATTTATATCATCCGTTTTATTTGCTTTGTCTAGGTTAAAGCAGGTCCACGTTGGGTATTAGCTGATGGCATGAATTTATCTGCTATTCGAGAAATTAAAATTCTTAAAGAAATTGATCATCCCAATGTTTTGACTCTGCTTGATGTATTCAGTCAGGATAGGTGTATTTGTTTGGTATTCGATTTTATGTCATCTGACTTGGAAGCTTTAGTACATGATCCAACAGTTGTTTTGATACCAGCACATGTTAAAGCTTTAAGCTTACAGGTGATCTAATTATTATCTGTCTAAATTGTATTGAAATAGTAAGAAATTGATGAAAATGTATCATTCATGTATTTTTCTGATTTTATTTATATTGTATGACATGTTTCTGAAATCTCGTTTCGTTTGGACAAATGCTAGGGGTAACCAAATCACAATGTGCCATCAGTCCACCAATTTATTAACTATTCGTCTTATCCATGTTGGTGGCTGCAGACTACTTGATTAGAGTTGTCATGATAACCCTGATCAATGATTGCAAACCTTGCTCGAGACAACGCAAGATCATTCATAATCGGACAAATTCATTCATATTTTTATCTTTAGATTTTGAACTCCAGCATTCGCTTAAGGACGCGTACCTTTTCATCCTGTCTTTTCGTACCATATTCTCTATGCTTGCTCTTTCTCATTATCACTACTACTACATCGTGTCGATCTATTTTATGATTCATCCCTTTATCTTCATCTCGTTGTGTTATTGTAGTACGACAACTTACGCTAGCAAATGTTTTTGGCAGGCTCTGTGTTGATTTTGACTAACTAACCGAGTTGGTCTATAAATCCGCTGTCGTTCAACCTGATATTTGTTTGTAATTTTATGTGCTTTACTCTACTAAGATTTCACTGTATCATTTTTGTACTCATTCTACTATTTGTGTGATTTATGATTTTTTGAGTTTACTCTTGACTGATTCATTTATCTGTTCTCAAACGTTTTACGGGTATAATGACATAATTGAATGATCATTCCATTTTCATAGGTTATCTTTACGTTGGACAGGAACTATTAGAATTAGTTCTCAAATGACTTGATGAAAGAATCCTCTAAAATCGTATATCTGTTTCGTTTTCATGTAGTTTACTATTGAATGTTATCATCTATAAACCTTCACATCTTCATAGTTGAGTGATTCTACATTAGATTCAGAGTATTTTTCAGTTCAATGTACATTTGTGCTTTGTATTTTAATATAGCAATCACTTCATTGTTAGGATTGACTTCTGTTGACAATCATAAGTTATTTTCATTTCCGCAGTATTTTATTATTGGATATTTATTAAGGAACAATAACGAATTCTTTTAGTTGATACCAGGATAATAAATTTATTTTAAAAAATAACATCCCTATTTGTGATGCCTCAACTTTTTACAAAATATTTGTATCCTCTTAATGCAGCTGCTTCGAGGTGTAGAATATTTACACGCCAACTGGATATTACACCGTGATTTGAAACCCAACAATCTATTCCTCAGTAAACAGGGTAAAGTGAAAATAGGCGATTTTGGTCTAGCTCGTCAATTTGCCAGTTCACCTACTCGACCAATGACACACCAAGTGGCTACTCGTTGGTATCGTGCTCCTGAATTATTTTATGGTTGCACTTTGTATGGTGTCGGTATTGATATATGGGCTGTTGGATGTATTATAGCGGAATTTCTTTTGCGAACTCCCTTATTTCCTGGTGACTGTGATTTAACTCAGTTGGCCAAAATATATGAGGTATGAAGAGAGGTACAGTATCATTCATTGTGTCTTTCAATATTATTGTTTTACAATTATTAACAGTTTTTAATCTCATCTCCTAGAAAATGGATTTACATCTTAAAATTTTTCTTGATCTCAGTTCATATCAGACATTCACACAAACCTGTTTAAACCACAGTACAATGTGCTGGTCAACAAAATCAGTGTACTAGGGCCATTATATCATTTAAGGAAAGTAACGGATATGTAGCATTGTTACATTGTCCGTTTTACTGATGCTAACCAATACAAACTATGCTTTTTAAAAAAATTTATTATTAGTTTCTACTCATCAACTAAACTGGTGTAATTGTAACTATGACTTCTTACGTAATTTGCATTAACGTGTTTCTATTAAATGATAATTTTGAAATATTTACTTATAAATTTTTAATGAGTTGGTTTTGTAGTAGTGTGTCTTCATTCATAATTAGTATTACTTGGTAAAGGAGTTATTGTCACCATTGATTGAAACATTGAAACATATAATCATTATTTACACGGTTGATATTATTTTTTTTTTAAACACTCAATGATGTTATCTCATTTATAAAATTATTTACTATTTGATGTTTTCAACCTCTTTTTTCATTATCATTATAGATCACAGGGACACCAGAGGATGATACATGGCCTGATGTTTATCGTTTACCTAATTATGTAAAATTTGAACGTCGACCAGGCATACCATTCTCACAGATATTTACTGCAGCTAGTACGGATCTTATAAATTTACTAGAGACTTTGTTAAATTTAAATCCAGATGCACGTGGAACTGCTGCCAACGCGTTACAATCATCTTATTTTACATCAAAACCATATCCTACACCGGAAAATGAATTACCACAGCCTAAAGTTAATCGAACTGTCGCTAGTTTACTGCATCAACACGAGCACCAACGTGGTTTGCATAACCCTCTAGATCCTGGTCTAGCCAAACCATCACGATCAGATGTAATAGTTCCTAGTTTAAAATTAGAATCAACTAATGTAAGTACACCAACGCCGACTGCAACTAATCGTAAAACAACCCGTTCTTTGAAAAAATCAATGGAACCGGATGATTCAATATCACCGTCATTACCACCTACATGTGCTAAACGGTTACATTTATGAAATTTCTGTGTAATATCTTCCATTGGTTTACAGACACACATACACACACGTATTTTTGTACATTATCCCCACTCAATCGTGTTCAATAAAATGTTTTGTTCTTATATAGATTTAAATATTTCGTTTCTTTAATATTTGTATGTGGCCTTTCCATTACCAACTTATCTAGATTAATTTCGTATTAGCAATTGACTTAAACAACCGCGCGATTGTTCTTACCGCCGATTTAATAATAGTTAGATCACGACGCTCAGTATTACTACATAAGGTTTATTTCAAACAAGCTTGTCCTCCAGTCAAATGATTAGGCAAATAAAACAGATGAATAAACGTATGTATTAGGTATATATATATATATATATATATATATATATATATCTGAGTCATCATCTATGTATATAAATAATGCCCTGAACGAGTAATGTAGTATTTAGATTTATTTCGCCAAAGTCATCAGACATCTCTAAACACATATGTGTACACAGGTAAGAGGTCTAGAATTATTTATAAAAGTGAGTACAAATAATCAATAATTTAGATTGGTTCATGATCTCAATCAGATTCAAAATTCCCTATAACCCCGTACCGATAATTATCATGTGCTCATTGGTTACTAGCTTATAGGAAATTTCCGGAGTTATAGTAAGAAGCCATGACCGACCGAATCATAAATCTGTATATTATATGTTTCAAAAGTACTTTGACGTTTGGCTATTCTCCAGTCTACATCAATTCTCAAGGAACATTATCTTAAAGTGAAACACATGAACTAATTAATAACATCCATAACAACATTTTAGGATAGTAAAAGAATAATAATGTTTCATGTGCCACAACCAACTTACTACATGTATCTCTATTTTAGGTAGTTTGTTTACAAATTCCATGTTGAATAAATGAATTGTAACTGTCAATAAATCTTAAAAACGCTCTTTTTCCTATTTTGGACTCACTAGCTGAATGTGCTTACATTCGAGCTCAATGAATAACACGTTGGAGTTTGAAGCAAAGGATACTGGGTTGAATTACTAATGTGAACATTAACATTGCAATTTAAGTACAGTCCATTGAAAAGTTCCAATAAGAACGAAACTCACGTCTTGGATTCCACTACTTACCGTTATTCATTTGATTTATAAGACATGACTATATATATATATACGTCAACTGAGCCTGATTAAAACTCAGTCTTTCATATCAACAAAGGGATAATTCAAACCTTTATTAACAATTTCTGTTGATTAATTATAAATTCTTTCATATGGACGTCTACTGCTATAAAAAAATGATTCGTTTGCTATGGTAGAAGACATTATTTTAAAAATCTCAGTTTGAAATCATTGTAACTTTCAAAATTATATCATAATTTCAGAGTTTTCAATGAAATTTAATTAGATTATTTCAACTTAAAAAAGAAATAACTGGCAGTGAATTAACTGTGAATGATGAACAAGTACCTACAATACAAACAAATCATGTGGTGAATAATTTTGTGGGCATTAACTATAACAAAATCTCAGATATTTCAATTAGTACACTCTAAAATAGAGAAAAAAAAACACTAGAAATCTCAAAACCTTTCAGATTATGTATATTTTTTAGGAGCATAGATTTTGTGCAATGATAATTAAAGCACTTTTCTTTTAACTAGTAGATTACAGATTTTAAACCTCATATCACTTAGCTTAAATAGTATACTATTTGTATTAACGGATATAAGTAGTATGTAACACCAATCAAATGTGGAATACATGGCAACAGAAGATTGAATTGAAGACAACAGGAATGTAAATAGAGAGTAATTGTAATATCAACAGGAATGAAGGAGCGATGAAGTTTGTAAGTGACGATTGATGTAAGATGTGCAGATAAAGTATTGAATGTATGGTTTTACGAAGACACTGTAATTTTGCATGAAGAAATAAATTGGTCTTCGTTCACTACCTGGCTAATGTTCACATGAAGAGTATGGCTCTGTGTCAAATACATATAGCCGTAATTTTGAGATAGCTGTCATTTTATTTGTTCAAAAATACATCACTAGTAAAGCAAAATCAGTTATCGAACATTTCAATTATACAAAAGTCCCTCCACTAATCATTTCTAATGTATTCTTAGTACAACGGCACTTAGTCTACTGAAATATTTCATTTTTAGTTTTTCTCCTAAATCACATCTATAGAAATATATTACTGCTAAGAGAAACATGATAGTTATCACTGAAATAACTGGTGTTGCTGTTTATATCTGAACCATCACGAAATAACGAAGCAGGGATGATATTCGACAAGCTGATTTCTTATATCCGATAGCAAACAAATAAATATAAATTTGGAAATCTGTCGAACTGATTGTTTGTTATTGAGAAGCACAAAATCTAATCTTATTTAAAATAAACTTTGGTCATCGATCTAATGGAATATATATAATGTAGGTATTTTTGTGTTAAGCTGTTGAGCATAGACTGTTATTCTGACCCACTTTTGTAGGTGCAGTCTGTTTATTTGAGCTCGCCGCGATTGCCCTAACGAGTAGTCGGATATGTTGAGTGACATAGCTCAAATGTAGTCATTCTTCTCTTATATCTTATAAAATTATTCTTAACCTTTTATTCGAAGAACTCTGTCTTATTTCTTGGGTCATACTCTCTATACTCAGTCATTCCTACTACCATTGATACTACTACTAGTACTCTATTCATTTTCATACTTTCCTCTGGCTGTGTTGTTGTAGTGCGATAATTTGGGTCAACTCGTAAATCCCCAATGTTCTACTGTGATAATTAAAAGTATCTGAATTATTATTATACAAACTAGGAATTCCAGAAATAACACAATTTAGACCAAGTAGGATTGGGTGAGCACGAATGAACGTATTATATTTAGAATTTGAAGTTAGACAGTCATCAAGTACAAAGGAATCATTAGTTCATAGAAATACCATATATACTTTGCTTTTAATTACTCTTTGTAATTTTCCTTGCGTTGCTCTGAGTAACGATAAATACATAATTGGGTGTGAATATAAAGAATATATATATATATAAGTTGGGTAATGATGGTCAAAATTGTTATGTCCCGATAAGAATAATGAGTGGTAACTGTTGGGATCCATTTATGGACCAATACTATGAGTATATTTTTATCGTATAATTGTTATGTAACTAAACTATTCATATTCTGGGCTTTATTTTGACCCATAAATTATCATTATACGATTTACCATTCTTGAATTATTCCCTGTCTGTTAATAACTACCTCCCTCATTCATAGCCACATTTGGCCAAGTATTGTACAAATGTTGTTTCCTATTTTATGGTACGATGTGGTCTGTTTGATTGGTATATAAACTCCGTATGCTTGAAATATATGATTCATATAGCAGAGGCTGAGATTGTTGTTCTGAACTTAACTAGTTGGTCTGGGCAAGAAGCAGAACCGATAAGTACTCTAGACTGCTCTCATGGGTTTTATGCATCACTGATCCGATCGGTAATTCACTGTTCTCTAATTGGCGGTATTATCACATTATACATTAACAGGGCACAGAGGTCACAAGTCATAACAAAAAAGAAACGTGATACTTCTAACATCTCTCTACGATAGATGCCTTTAAAAAAACCAGCTGCCATCAAATAATTGAATAATTATTTATGTGATGCATAGTGGCTAGCAGTGGAATCCAGGACGCGCGTTTCGTCCTAGTTGGGACTCGTCAGCTGGAAGTACCTGCATCTGAGAGTTGATTTTCACTCTGGGACTCGAACCCAGTACCATTAGCTTCAAACGCCATCACGTTATCCACTCATCTACTGAGTCCTGCTAGCCACTTGCTTGTGCAATGGGGTGAATTTGAATTCACTTGGTAACAGAATTAGGATAAGAGAATTAGATAAGATGAGCTATTAACGATATCATTCGAGAAGAGTGATTCTGCGGAATTAGAAATAAACAGTATAAGTGACCTTTGAAATTCAAAATCTTGGGCAAAAAATTGAATTCACCTATGATATTGCGACAGGGTCATGTCACTCAACGTCTCTAACTGTAAGTTACAATAATCATGTAGTGTTCAAAAATCTTGCCAACATAGATTTCACAAAAAATGGAGACACCCTTAAATAATCATTTATTTTTTACAACTCGTAGTTGATATTCGAAGTGATCGGTCTTAGTTGTTATGTATGCACCATGTGTAGGTTACTCACGTATAACCAAATTTTAACAAGAAATACATGATGACTTATTTCATTATTCTCTGAAATCAGGTTTTTTTTAGTTTATTACTTAATTATCGTAGGTTTTTAATTGTTGTGCCACAAGGAATGTGGGACGCTAATCATAAATCGAAAGTGATCGTGATAAATTTGTGATTTTGTCGATTTCTACCAAGGTGTTCCTAAAAATAAAGTTAGTGTTGGATACAAGTCGGCTAGAATCTAGTCTAATATTCTGTCAATTTATTTGTCCTGACACACACGTTGACTACTTATTTAATGTCATTAAAATGCAGTATTTATCAACCTATTTGTTATTGGACACTTAGTACAAGGAAGCATAAACACTCAACCTTTACAACCTCGCATCAATGCACACAAATCATTTAACAGTGTGACAACATTCACAGCATTTATATTTTCCACTATATCAATCAATAATTGCATTTCCGGAATACATTGCAGCGGAGGAGTCCGTAGCAAACGTTAGTGATAAGATGGAATAGATACATCAAAGTTAAACCATTATTGAAAACCTGGAAACACTTGATAACCATTTCGTCACTGTACGGGTTCCCTCTGGAACGTTTGGTATTGAGCACAAAACCCTAAACCTCTAGACCTCTGAGCCAGGTTCCAACGGCGTCAATGTCCCATTACAATCAGTCCACGATATTGAGCGACCACTGTAACGTCATGATTCAGGAGTTATGGAGTTCAACTTCCAACCACTAGCTCTCTCGTACCACTGATTTCAGTATATTCCTCCGTGTAGAATCACTAGCAAAGCAGATGAGTTAGTCAAAATTTTAAACAATTAACATAGTATTTTTAGGAATCTCGAATAGAAATA